CTAGCCCGGATACAGTTTAATCTCCTTTTTTAAAAAATATTTTAGTCATAGATGGACATAATACCTTTATTTATTTTTAAACGTTTTTAGTTGTATACGAACACAATATTTATTTTTATGTGGTGCTGAGGATCAAACCCAGTGCCTCACATGTGCTAGGCAAGCGCTCTACCACTGAGCCACAACACCAGCCCCCTTTAAAAAAAWTTTTTTTAAATATTCTTTAAGTTATAGATGGACACAACACATTTATTTGCTCATTTTTATGTGGTGCCAGGGATCAAACCTAGTGCCTCACACATGCTAGGCAAGTGCTCTCCAAAACACCGGCCCCCAGCCCCTTAGTAAGTCTCCTTTTTTGATAGTTTAGCACTCAGGTTCAAAATGCTTTAATCTATTTTATTTATTGGTCTTTTCAAAGAGCTAGCTTTTGGATTTATTTGTTCTACAACTTTGTTGTCTACCATCATGTGAGTTTCTGCTTTAACAAGTTTCTGTAGCCTGGAGAGAGGTGGGCCAGAGGACTATCCTATTCAGGGTTGTGATGCCCTGGTCTGCTCTGAAAACAAAAGGCTTGTAAACTTGCACCAGCAACATAAGTTATGAACTGCCTTCATCTCCACACTCCCATTGTTTCATGGTTTTAGGCTTTTACCCTAAACAGGGTCTCTCAAGCCCTGGAATTGAGTCAGGTTAAGGGGCCTCCTATGCAATTTTGTGTGTGTGTGTGTGTGTGTGTGATGGTACTGGGGATGGAACCCAGGGCCTCAAGCATGCTAGGCAAGTGTTGTATCATCAAGTTATACCCACAGCCTGCTCTATGCATTTCACAACAAATTCTGCAGTCCTCAAAACTTTTGATTGGTTGATTTTCAGGGTCTTGCTAAGTTGTCCAGGCTGGTCTTGAACTTGCAATCCTCCTTTCTCAGCTTCCAAGTAGCTGGAATTATAAGCGTGTGCCACTGAACTCCCTGCCTCTCTTTTTACAGTCAGGAACCTGGAAAACAGAAAATAGATTCTACTGCAAGACACAGTCTGGGAATTAATTCTTGGCCTGCTAAGTGCAGCAGAGAACAATTTGCAGAGAAATATCAGTTCTTTTTTGATCCAAAGCTCTTTTCAGGAGAATATCTGAATCGTTAAATTTACTTGTCATTTTACTTCTTTTTTTTAATATTTTTTAAGTGTAGAAAGAGAGAATTTTTTA